CTTACTAAATTCGTTCAATTTTAAACCTGGCTACTCTTTAATTAGTTAAACTAGTTCTCTAATTTCTCGCAATATATCTAGACTCGTTTCAGAATGTTTCTTTTTTGCAAAAGTTTCAAAGTTTTCTCTCAAAACTTGAGTTTAATTTTCGTAATGTTTCAACAATTTTCTCGTACTGCGTTATATAATAAATCAACTAATTTTAGGTATTGCATTTTACTTCAGACAAAATAATATAAGTAGGCAAACGTTACTTACCATAATATAAGGAAAAGTGTCTCATAAGCTACACAGTTGTGAAAAAGTGCACTCTAAGTTTCAAACAAATTGTTATTTATTAAAAATTGATTTTAGTAATAGTTGAATAATTTAATAGTTATTTACAGTACAAGTGTGTTTATGAACATGATTACAACAACGAGTGTGAACGATTATGTGATAACACGAGTGTAAATCATGTTTAAACGCACGTGCCATGTACAGGGTGGGTCAAATTCGACGCTTTTAAATGGAAACACCCTTTTCTATAGGAGATAGACGAAAACTAATATCGGTGTCTGGAGCTCAATTTTCATCAAAAACATGATGGTGAAAAGCGAACATCAATATCTGTTACCGTTTCGGAGTTACGGGGTGTTTTTCAAAAATGTGCATTTTTAACAAATCGCTGAAACTTTTTTACTATGGAAAATTTTGTATTTCTATGAAAACATTTCCAAAGCACCTTTTACGTGGAATTTAATGGTTTAAGTATAATTTTTTTAAAATTAATAATTTAAGAATTTTACAGAAAATTTGATTTTGATGTGGATCGCAGTGTGCAAACTGTAACAGTCAAATTTCCTCGCAACGACCTCTGTGTGCTAGCTCATAAAATATCGCAAATAGCTATTATTTTTGCATCATGTTTACTATAATTTTATTGTTAAATATTATTTTATTTAAATTTTACAATTATGCAACCCGATATACACCGCGCTATAGAGCCAGAATATTATCACTGGATGCCGCCCAGCATTAGAATTTCTGTCGACCTCTTTTTATCTTTGGTCATCACTTGTCACTTGTCACTGGCAGATCAAATCAGATGTTTTTGAATTTATTTATCCTTTGTTTTGGTTATTGAAATTTTATATTTATCAGATAAAATTTCGTAGTTAAATTGTTTATTTTTGATGTGGATCGCAGTGTGCAATTCGTTCATTTAATTGTGGGACTTTGTGAGTTAAGTTCGTTCATTGACCGGATATGAAATATGACAATGAAAAATATTCTAGAACGTCGTTTTTTATTTATGCCTTTTTGTGAGTTGGACTAGTCGAGATATATAGTTCTCTATCTATATCCTGGAGGGAGATTTCCGGTTGAAATCTGATTTTTTGAAGGAAATCCAATCCTTGCATCACTTCTTGTGTATCCACCGACTGAAGAGAGTCGTCGTGAAGAACTGGCTGCCGTTTCGTGAAGCATTTCCTGTTGGTAGTTAACAGGTCTTCCTAGAGAAGAATTAAGGCTTCCGAAACACATTTGGTTAGAGACGTGGTTGGATTTTGTTGATTTGTATGGACCACCGACCAATTACCGTAAGGGATTAAATAGCCAAATTTTCCGACCGATATTTCGATTCCACGTGCCCAAGAAGTCCCCGATAGTTCCAAGAGCAAGAAGACCGATCCAGACCGTAGCACAGAACAGTCCAGAATTCCATCCGTTCCTGTTGCCCGTGTGTAGAGTTACCCGTTGGACATCATAAACCCTCGTTGAGGGGTTTTTATGTTCACCTTTGAAGTCCTACACCTGGCCGGCATCCGTACGTCTGCTGAAATCCGTGGGGCTCCAGTGACAGTACACCGAGCTGCTGTACCGCCGTAGCCACCCTGTAGCTATACACCGTAGCTCAGCCGGAGGAATTTCCGAGTTGTTTTCAAGATTGTACATCGATTAGAGTAAGACTGTTTAGATTTAGATTTGCTTTATGTAAACCACCCTGTTTGTATCTAGTATTAAGTTAGATAAGGGGGTTTGACGTCATAGGTTTAGTACTTATTGATTTAAATTTCATTTAACTATACATTTCATTTAACTTCAATTTCATTTCTTTAAATATAAACTTTTTGATATTTTAATAAATTGCTTAAATATTTTTAGTAGTATTATTTACAGTCTAGTCTCATAGTAGTTAAGTTAGAGTCCCACTTAAGTACAAATAGTTATAGAATATTTGAAGTTCATGATAGTTGCACTCAACAGTTCGAGGTTAGTGTTGAAGTCTACTTAATAGTTACATCTTTATTGCCGAGTTCATAGAGTATAATCTCGTGGCGCCCTTTTATTAATATCTTTGAACCCCGACCACCCGGCTGTTAAAATTAAAAAGCTAGTGGCCTCTATGCAACTCATTCAGATTAAGTAAACTTTGTGTTTTATTGAACTTCGAATAAGATAGGGCGTGGCATTATATGGGACACCCTGTATATTTTTAATTTATTGAAAAGAATTTAAAATTACCTTTCCAAAAATATAACACACTTGATATTTTCGTCGATTCCTCTTCGAGATATAGAGTATATAAAAATTCGCCTGCTTTAAATAAGTAGGATTTGAACGGCACCGGCTGTAATGCAAAAAAATTCTAGCTGTGAGCATCAATTAAAACGAAAATAATATTTGCTATGAGAGATGCAGAATTTTATAACAATTTAAAATATATTTTACCAACATCAACACATTTAAACTATATCTAATAACAATAAAAATAAATAGCAAACCAAGACATGAGATTTTGCTACAGGTATTCGACATATCGACCGTCTTCTGTTATGGACAGGCGGGGCAGTTTTTGAACATTTCTCGCGGAATTCATTAACTCAGTGGGGGTGAAAGGTTCCCTCTCATAACTGCTAAGTATTTCTAATTCTTGTCTAGATTATACGGAAGAATAAGGAACCTTTATTCTTCCGCAAATATATCCATAGGATTAGATCCATGGGCACTAAGTCAGGCGGCCTCGACGGCCAACGGCTGGGATCTTGGTTAGCTATTCAATTATTCTTGAAATTGGCTGCAAAAATTTGCTGATAATTTCAGCGTTCAAAGACAGTGCATCGTCTTGCTGGAAAAATATGTTTTCGAGTTCCATTAAGGGCATATCATCAATAAGAGGTCCAAAGCCTACTAGTTAAAAGTGGCAAACTTCAAAAATTCTGTATTTTGAAGGGGATTGTAACAAAATATCAAGTGGACTTAGCGACTATGGATTTTTATCTTTAAGGAAGAATAAAGGTTCTTATTTTTAAATTGCCTGTTTATACAGATTATTCTAGACAAAAATTAGAAATACTTAGAAGTTATACGAGGATATCTTTCATCCCTACTGAGTTAATGAATTCCTCGAGAAATGTGTGTGTCCCATATAAAAATCATTTCTTCTTTTGATACTTTTTAAATTATTAATTTAAAAAAAATATATACTCAAACCATTAAATTTTTCGTAAAAAGGTGCTTTGGAAATGTTTTCATAGAAATACAAAATTTTCCATAGCAAAAAAGTTACAGTGATTTGATAAAAATGCACATTTTTGAAAAACACCCCGTAACTCCGAAACGGTAACAGATATCGATATGCGGTTTTCACCATCATGTTTTTGATGAAAATCGAGCTCCAGACACCGATATTAGTTTTCGTCTATCTCCTATAGAAAAGGGTGTTTCCATTTAAAAGCGTCAAATTTGACCCACCCTGTACAACGTTTTATCTACAACCTAAAAATAAGAAAATGCTGTTTTAATTTTCGTTTATTAGCCGCCCACCTTTAACTATGACATTTGTCACAATTTTTTCATTATAATCGTGGGGAATTGTTACCTGCTTCAGACTATAGTTACAAACGTTGTTTATCAAGTAGAGAGTTTTTTTTTCTGAAAAGTCAGTTTGCCCTGTCAAGTAAACGCGAGCACTTTTTGCACAGAAAAATCATTTTAAAAATTACAATGAGCGATTCCGAAAGTCTCCCTTCAGATGTAGAAGTTGCCGCAGTACGTGCCACGGAATCATTATTGCCGGAAAAGTCGCGATCAAAATATGAAAAAACATAAAACCAGTTTTGGTGTGATGACAAAAAGGTGAAAAATCAATGCAATGAAAAAGTAATTTTAGCATATTCTGAAAATAATGCACGGAAATACAGCGCATCAAGTCTATGGACGTTTTATTCTATGTTGCGAGCCACAATATCCTTGAAGAAGAACGTTGATATAGTCTATAAAATGAATAACTTTGAATTTTGACCGTTATTTTTTGCCAACACGGCAAATATAAAATCCCTCTATCAAAAAAGTTACTGATATTCTTTAAGTATTCTTTAAATTGAGTGCCTGAACGAATCAGATAGGTAACTCTTTTTACTTTCGTGAAATAGAAAAGGAAAATGATAAAACAAGTGACAGTTCTTCCTCTTCTTGCAAAAATCAACAGGAAATGGCATAATTGTCAAAAGTAAAATGTCATCAGCTTTTGACATTTCTAAATATCAGACCAATGCCGTCTCTAATAGAACAGCCTCGGAGCGAGATTTATTACGTCACGCTAATTAGATACTACGGATTAATAAATATGTTGTAGAATACATGGAAAACATAATTATACCTCGTATTTTTGGTTTGTATTTTAAAACTGATATAGTTTACATGAAATATACATAATATACAGATAATAAACAGACTATATAGATTCATAACACCACTGTTATGAATCTCATAACGTAACTGAAATACTAAAAAAATAGTGATGTAAAATCGTTATAACTAAACGGTTGTAGATAAATCCATTTTATTTTTAGTTTTTTGTGCTTTCTTTAAGAAAAAGTGTCTCATAACCTACACAATTGTGAAAAAGTGCACTATAAATTTCAAATAAATTGTTATTTATTAAAAATTGATTTTAGTAATAGTTGAATACTTTAAATCCATTTTATTTCTATTTTTTTGTTTTTTTTTTCTAGGTAGTAACTATTGTGGTTGTCCAGGTTCTGCTGGGGTGTCTCATCCGGAAACGCTGACAGTTACACTGACATCCGACAGAGGGCTGGGATATGGACTGACAGTTTCTGTAGGTGATCACACGGATAATCGATCAGCTGATATACTGATTACCAGGATAGCTACAGATTCACCAGCTTACAGGTAATATTTTACCAGATTTTTATATTATATTTAAAAATCGACATTATAACCTATTCTCTAAAAAGTTCTAAACATAATTCTTTCATTAAATCTATTTATTAGAAAAAAAGTCGTCATAGACCTGAAACTTATAAACAAAACCCTTGTCGATACACTATTACTTTACACAAAGTTCGTATCTTAATGCTCATCTTTTTTGTTATTTTTACACTTTTTGGAAGGTCTTAGAAAAATACTAAACGTAGTCCTAAAAAATGTATGTAGATTTATAGTATACACCTCCGAAGGTTTAGTTACCTTGGTTTTGTGAGAAAATTAAATTTTTGAACTACTTGTTTTTTAGCTATTTTTGATGATGGTTAGAGAAATAGTAAACGTAGTCCAAAATATATCAGAAATATCAGAATCTGTAGGAAATTTTATACAGATTCGGAACATATACACCTTAGAAGGCTTAAAAATTTTAGTTTTGTGAGAATTTTAAATTTTTTAAACCCATGTATTTCAGATAATTTTGATGACTGTTCTACTTCCCCTACAACTAATACTGTACTTATAAAACCACAATGGCCTATATTTTCCTATTATACGCTTTTTAATTAGTAAATATCAGCAGTTTTTCCAAAATCAGTGAAATGTATGAAGTGATTAGTATGGAGAAATATCGAAAATTTGCCCATTTTCCGATATTTTTTGCACACTTCCAAAGGTCTTAGAAAAATAGAAAACATATAGTCCGAAAATTATAAAAATGTCAGTATTTGTAGGAAATTTTATGCAGATTTAGAATGTATACACGTATTAAGATTTAGGTACCTAAGTTTTTTTAGAAAATTAAATTTTCAAACCCTTACTTTCTCAAATTTTTGTTTTGGTGGCGAAGTACCGGATTTCTTCTTCAATAAATGAATTCCCCCTTAAAGATATTGAGATTTTGTTTAATAGTGTTATTACCTTTTAATATCATGAGATTTGTTTTCTAGAAAATGACTGTTACTACCATATGATCGAAAAAAACGGCGCGGCGCGGCGTCCAGTTGGCTTTGAAATTACGATCGATGACATTCCCCATATAATTATACATATAAAATGACAGCGATCTTCATTTCATAGCCTTTTTTGAAACCTTTTTTTTTCAGCATTTTGTATTAATAACTAAGATGTAGATTATGTTTATATTGTTTTTTTATTGCGATTATTTTTAGTGGTTTCAATTAGCGAAGTTTGTTCCTTTAATTTCAATGTAAGCATTAAGAACGTCAAAACTAGCGGTAGACATTTTCAATTAGTAGAAAAAGTGATCAAACTTTTAACTTTTCCACTAAATATACTTATGCCGGTTCCACATTCTCGCTGTTGCTCGGCGAGAAAGCCCGAGAACGAGTGTGTAGATGGGACCGCCCGATTTACCTCGCTTTGTCTTTCCCGGCATCGCCGGTGCTCCGTCGAAAATCGGTTTTTTGGGCTCGAGTCAAAGGTGCTCGCGAGAATACCGAGGATGAGCGAGCATAATAGTGTACGTTCTCGGGTTCTCGCATTGATACGCATATTACCGCTAGATTTCGGAGGGTTCAGAGGTTGTCTTGTGTTGTGATATAAACAAAATGGGAGTGGAATAATGAAAAAGAATTAAATTACAGCAACAGCAGCAGCAACTTCTGCGTAACAAAATGGCAAAAGTAATTCGCGCAGCATACCATAAAAAGTACTCCGACTGTCCGTTGTGATGAAGACTTCCACATGCCGTACTGGTGGAACGAAGATATCCAAACAAACATTTTAGAAGTAAAAAAAAGAAGAAGGTTTCAACGAGAAACAAGAAACGATGATCTTCGCGAGCTCTATAAACGTACCTACAAAGAAGCAAAGCAGGATCTGTCTCAAAAGATCAGAATTGCAAAAATAAGTTCATGGGAAAAACTGTGCGATGACTTACAAGAAAATGTTTACGGTCAAGCATACAAGATAATAAGATCCCAGCTGAAAAAAATGCCACCCACAGTTCAAATGGACCCAGAAGAAAAAAATCAAACAGTTTAAGGCTCTATTTGTATATGAGAGACAAACCTGGACTCAACCAAATAATATACAAACTGTGATAAGAGAATGTGATATTTTTTGTGATTCAGATATAATAAATGCTGCCAAAGATATAAAAATTAACAAATCTCCGGGCTGTGATAATTTGCCACCAAATGTGATAAAAACGCTAATATTGGACAATGTAGAATATTTTAGAACATTTTTCAATAACTTTCTTCAGAGAAATGAATTCCCTAAAGAATGGAAGAGATCCAAATTAACCCTAATAGAGAAACCCCGGAAGCACCTAAATGATCCACCAAAATATCGTCCGATTTGCCTCATTGATGTAATCGGGAAAGTCTATGAGAAACTCATCAATACGCGACTCTTGGAAGAAATTAGGAAGAAACGAAATGGTATGCATCCAAACCAGTATGGATTTGTAAAGGGGAAATCTACCACACATGCAATGAAGAAAATATCGGATATCGTGAAAAGAAAAGCCACTTGGCATAATGCTTTGATTTTAGTCGACGTTAAAAATGCATTTAATTGCGCGTCATGGGAAAGAATTATTAAAGAACTTAGAAGATGGGGCATAAGTGGCTATTTGGTGAACATAATAAGAAGCTATCTTGATAATAGATTTATAGTCAATAGAGAAGACGAAAGAGAGGTATTCGGTGGCGTCCCACAGGGCTCGGTGCTGGGGCCAACTCTGTGGAACATATTATACGACAGTGTCATGGAGCTTACTGTACAGGTGGGACAGAGTTGGATGATACACTAAAGATCATAGCCAGATGGATGCGTGAGCACAGACTCGAAATAGCTGTGGAAAAACAGAGGCGATTTTACTGAGCCGCAAGAGAAAAGTTGACCATATAAGGTTTAATTTTAAGGATATAATAAAAAATCCAGTAAAGCAAGTCAACTATCTTGGATTCCACATAGAGCGTGCACTCACGATGGGCCTGCACATCAAGGAGGTGTGTCTGAAATCACAACGAACTGCTAAAGCGTTGTCCGCAATACTGCCAAACGTTCGGGGCCCAACACCAGCAAAGATAAGAGTGTTAGCATATGCGTGCCAGAATATTATTATGTATGGAGCACCTGTGTGGAACGAAGCAACCAATATGCACGTAAATAAAAAAAGACTTGAAGGTGCACAGAGAGTCATGGCTTTGAGGGTCTGCTCGGCGTATCGGACTACTTCAACTGAGGCAGCCTTGGTGATATCGGGTCAGGTGCCCTTGCATCTTCTCTCAAGAGAAAGAGAACGACTCTTTCTCAAGGGTGAAGTACAAACCAGGGCAAGCAGAGAGATGGAGAGAAACCGCACAGTGCAGCAGTGGCAGGCAGAATGGGAAGTATCACAAAAAGGACAGATAAGATGGACATATAAGCTCATCCCAAATATAAATATGTGGATTAAAAGAAAGCATGGAGAGGTAAACTTCTATCTTACTCAAATATTGAGTGGCCACGGAAATTTTTGGGAGTTACCTGTGTAAAATTGGAAAGAGGGAAGTCGCGGAATGCCGATACTGTGCTGAACCCAATGATACTCCAGAACACACAATGTTTGCTTGTCCAAGATGGGAACAGGAAAGATGTAAGGCACGCATGACGATTGGTGGCAACATCTCCCCAGATACCTTCTTAAAATCGGTAACAGAAAGAAGAGAAAACTTTGAAGCCATCTCAAAACTTGCACAAAATATACTAGAGGCAAAATACAGCGAAGAGCAGGGGTAATGACAAAAAAGGAACAGTCCGGTGTCTACTTGAGGAGATGCGTCCAGCAGGTCCAGGTAGACGTGGCAGGAGCGAGGGGGTGACGTTTAGTGGGTAGTGTCCTCCAGGCAGCTTAAGGAGAGAAAAAAAACTTCTGCGTCGGCCATCTTCTCGCGTTCTCGCACGGATGATGGATTTCCCGGGAGTTCACAACTGCAACTGAAACATTCGCTAATTTAGCGAGAATGTGTATGGCCGTATCCGAGCACGAATTTCTCGGCCGAGAAGCTCGGCGAGACACAGCGAGCGTATTCGGACGAGAATGTGGAACCGGCATTAAAAATTTGCGACAAATGTCATTTTGGCCTTGATTATCTTCCGTCAAGAGAAATTGTGGTTAGAAATCAAAAGTTGATTGTTTTAAAGATCGCGCACACTATACCTACACGGACCAGTACGGACCAGCACAGCACAAACCTGCATCCTGCATGACATCGCACACTTTACCGCCACAGACCAGCAACATAAGCGAGAGTTTCGAAAAAAGTACAGTTGTCAAGGCTCAACTACTAGAGCGTGCAACATAGAAGTATTGAAAATGAGTAGTTCAGACGAAGAAATTATTATTTTAGCCATGTTGTGTGAAGAAGAGGAGGAAGAGAAGGAAGCTAAGAAAAAAAGAAGATTTTGGGTTCACCCTATAAATCAAAAGAGAAAGCAATATGGCGAATTTCATTATTTGTTTCCTGAATTAAAAAGATTCGAAGAAAAGTTTTTCCAATATTTTCGAATGTCACAAATCAAATTTAATTATTTTTTTTTGCTATCGACTCCCATATTGCATCTTTTCTTTCTTGGTCTCTATATATAAAATGCTTGGCTCGTATCGCACAGCTCTGAATACTTTTGTACCAGTAAAATAAGCTTTTTTTCATTCATATTTAAAACGATTTAAAGGTTCGAACAAAAATAAACGAAATCTAACCTACATCATGCAACTTGAGCCAGCTAGCGTACTCGAAATACTGACAAACCCTTCAATATTTGCATGTTTGTGGAGGTGTGCTGGTTCGCCGGTGCGCACATTAGGTCGGACCAGCACGACCAGGCATAAATATTGCCGGTCATATTTGTCCCTGACCGACACGACCTGTTTGACGGTCGTGGCTTGTGGCGGTACGTGCTGGTACTGGTCTAGTGTCCCCTACTCTATTAAATAACACGGTCACCTTCAC